ATCTATTGCAGCACTGTGCCCTTTGGCATGTATTCTGTAATGTGCTATGCTCATTATTTTGAACATAAGTCTAATATTTGATCTCGTTTAGCTGCCGTTGGTCTCCACAGACTCTTGAAAGAAATATCTGTAACAACAATGTAAATGCAAAACACAGAAAAGTGGTGTAAATGAACCAAAAGAATGTTATGCGTGGAAAAACAAGTTCACGCTGTACTTTAAATGTTTTTAAAAATGTTTTCACTCTCATGATTTTATCAGTTTGTTTTTTTTCTCTTGATTTATTAATGGCTTTATTTATTTATGTGGCCACTCAAAATGGGGGCTGTGTGAACTCTGTGTTCACTCAGTTTGACATGCCGAACTCATTTTATCAAATAATGAGCTGAATTGTTACATTTGTCGAGCAGAAGGCCACAATTTGAATTTGGAGTGATTAGCTGAGGGTGGCGGTTTTGCGAGCAGCACATTGGCCACTTAATGATAATTTGCCCTGACCAACTGGAAATCCTTTAATTCAAAATAAATACAACTGCAAACTGCCCAGATAGTGCTAACATGCACATGAAGGAATTTTAAAGCCAGTTAATCTGTGTACCTGCTGACAGGAATGTTAATGATGGCTGAATCAACAGACACCAAAAGTGCTTTTGAGCGAGTTGTATTTGCTAAAATATGTCGTGCAATCCCATATTATTACCCTGTGCGAAGATGTTGCACATGTTGTAACTTCTTCATCCAGAGTGATGTGCGAATCCCTCGTGGAATCTCAGCGTTGGCCTGCCGTGAAAGCTCTGTGTTAAACCCTAGTACAAACAAAGTATCGCTCTGCCTTTGATCCACAAGGACCTTGCGCTCCGTCTCCCCTCAGTCCTGTGCGGTCAAGGAGGCAGAGAAGTGGCTCAGAGGGACAGGCTGCATTAAGAGAAACAGAAGAAGGAGGAAGCCCCATTCTCTCACTCCATCACACGTCTCATCTCTTTAGTCGTCTGGCTGGGGCCTAAAGTGACTTTGCCGTGATGTGACCAGGACAAACCGGGTGTGATGCCATGACGGCTCTGCTAAGCGTGTGAACGTGGGTGTTTTTAGTTCTTGCATGTGTATTGTGTATTTAGGGGCAGGGACTGAATGTGTGTGCGTGTTGTGAGGGGAATGGTGCTTTTGATTTTGTATGTGCGCGCGCGTGTGTGTGTGTGTGAAGAAAGGAGGGGTTAAGAAGGACAGTCACTTTTGATTTGGCCTCAGAAGGGTGACAGGGACTTGGAGCTCCAGTGGCATGCTTTACTGAAACAATCTTCTCTGACCTCAAACAGGCGCACACAGACTGTCAGCCTGCCTCCTGATGACTTGTTCCTTGCTTCTTTTTTTTATTATTTATTTTTCACTTTTGCAGTGAAATTTCATAGAAGGATGAAAAGCTTTTTCTTCCTGCTGTGTGACATCCTGAAAGCAGGCTTTAGTTTCTGTAGCCTTGGTGAGACTGCTAATGCTTTGGATGAGACGCAAAAGTCTCTGGCTCGCTCTCTGTATGGCTGATTGTTTGACAAGTTCATTTTACCTTGCCTTCCAGTCTTGCATCAGATATATACAGTATATTTGAAAAAAAGTAATGATTTAATATAACTGCAGGCTGTACTCATATTGTAGAAGGGATGGGTTTTGGTCTTGGTGATTCTGGGGTAAAAAGGCGGAGACCTTTGAGGAAGAGAGAAGCTACTATGAACACGATGTTTATGTGTAGTTCAGGATTGGTTCCTCTGGAAAAGGAGTCTTTGACTGGAGGGATTTGGACATGCTGAAATTAAACAAGCCAATTAGGCAAGCAAAGAGTTTAGAGGTCAAAGCGCTCTCCATTAAAGCTGCTTTTCTCTACCTAACGACTAACTCAGTATGTCTCGAGTCTGTTGAGGCAATAAATCTGATTATACCTCTCCCTTTCTTTCTCTTTTTCTCTCAGTCACTGCTGTTTGGGTTTTTTTTTTTTTCTTGTTTTACACTCCACTGGTTGCTGCTTTTGGTAAATCTAAGGCATCATTTAACATGTTTTGGGGTGCAATTCTAGCTGCGCGCTCACATTACGTTCAACCAAACTCAACGACACCTTTTTTGTACCTGGTCTATTGTATCAGAGCACTACCACAGGGCCATTATCATTAGATCTATGGACATCCATCACAGCAGAATATGAAAAGTCGCAACTATACGCTGATAAGGATTGCAAGCTGTATTTAAAATAAGTCAAATCAAATTACAATCACATTTTCTTTCCCCTCATCTCGTGGTGCATAGCACTGATGCACGATATCTGTGTCAGACGTTTCTGACTTCTCTCAGTTATAGATGTGCAATGAATTTTGTTACAAACTGATTCCTGCACAGGCTGTAACTAATGGTTGTTTTCATCACCTGCTAATCTGCCGGCTTTTTCAACTTAGACGTTAATCCCTCTCTCTACACACCGTTAAATAATAATGAACATTCCTATAGTGCAATTTTAGAAAGTCCAAGGTGATTCTTAAGATGTCCTTTGTCCAACTTTGATTTTAAAACCCAAAGAAATTTTGGTTAGTGCGACAAAGAAACACAAAATTTTTTATTTCTTTTCCCTTTTTTTCATGTTACTCATTCAGTCGAGAGCTCATCTTTGTAACACAGACGGAAACAGGCTGATCCTAAATGTGTGAGCGAAGACATTATTGCTCCACCTAATGACTTGCTATAGCTGACTTCCTCTAAACTACCAACAAATCTATGTCTGAAATGGTGCTGACCGCTGCTGAACGGGTGTGTGTGTGTGCTGTACAGTGACCCTTTATTTCTCCATCCATGTTGGTTGGTAGAAAAAAAGCCAGGCACAGAAACCACAGGAATATGTCTCAGTGAATAAATGACTCCTTTTGTGTTTTATGTGGCTCTGAGAGCAAGTCTATCTTATAGACTTGTCTATACAATTGGATGTGCCAGTGGCCCTGAGAGAAGAAGAGCAGAGGGATGAGGAGCAGAACAGCTATGTCTTTAAAGCCGCTCGGTTTGTCCTCAGAGGTGAGAGGTGAAGACTCTCAATACCTCTATCAGAGCAATGCAGAAAGGAAAAAATATTTCAAGGTTAAACTGCCAATAGATTTTTTCTGAGAAATGTGTGAACTGGTGGATAAAAGCATTGCGTCAAAACGTACCTTTTGAGACTTTGAGGGACACTGTTATTCTACCTTCACACTTTCCTCCTCCTCGCAGTTTTTTCTCTCTCTGACGAACACCAATCAAAGCAAAAGATTTTGAGCTTGCTTTGCATTGATTGTTTTTTTTTTTTCTACTTGTGCAAGGCAGGCTTCACTAGTTGTCACCATCACTCCATCCACTTGTCCACTGCTGTTCATAGGAGGTGTGTTTGTCCAAGTGGACGTGGGAGACACTGTGGATTTATCTGATCTTACAAGCCATCAGGTTGAGCAGAGCTTTGCTAAACATGACCTGAAGTGTGCCGGCCCCCGAGCAAACGCTGCTGTCACCTTGGCCAACCCGAGCTGTCATCTCTTAGAATGGCCCATGAGAGCTGACAGCTGTGGCGTTCCCAAAACAAATCACTGCTGCGTTTGGTAACACTCTGCGTCCCCACGATTTAGCCCTCACCGAGACAAGAGCAGGAGCGGCGGCTGCTAATGCTCTGGCTAATGTACTGCCTGCATGTGTGGGTCTTCTTCTTCCTCTCTCTCCCTCTCTCTCTTTCACTCTCTGTGTGCATGTACATGTTTGTATTTGAAAAATCTTAATGTGGTTTCTCTTTGTTTTCCTGCCACCTTCTTCCCTGGTTCAACATAACGATGTTCACGTCTCCCTTTGTCTCCTTCTTCACTCCCCTCGCTATGGCCTTTTCCTGCAGCGCTTCTCCAGTGTTTGAGCTCACAGTACATCTTATGTGTCACCTAACCTGTGCACAGCAGGCTATACTGTTTCATCTACATTCAAAGGAAAAAAATGATAAAAAAACAAAAAACAAAAAGACAAATCAGAAATTGTTATTTGTGTGGCTAAAAGTAGAATCTCTCTTATGAGATAAGAGATTGTAAACATTCAAGTCGTGAGCTTTTTTTTTATGGGATTTAATTTGCAAGAGTAACAATAAAATATGACAGTCTTCCTGTTGTACCACCATGAAAGTTAGATCTTTGTTCCCTGACAGTCAAGCCACTCCACAATTTGTCATTAAGGGGCCTTTCTTTGTAGTTTAAAAAAAAAAAAAAAGAACCCTCAGTGTTCGCAAACCTTGACTGAACCGTGCAAGATCACAAACACTGAGGTGAAGGTTCAGGAGTGGATTTCTGTCTTAACTAGACAGCTGATTGAATATTCATAGTCAAAGGGAAACGAGAAAAAATAAATAAATAAAACAAATAGGAACCGAGGCTGTGTTTATTGATATATGTAATGGTGAAGTGGTCCGTACTAAATGAGTCTGTTTGCTCCCTCAAAAACTGTTTTGTGAAAGTGTTACACTTTTTAACTGACATTTTTAATGAGCTTACACACGCTCTCTCTCTCTCTCACACACACACACTCGCAGCCACACACTCACAGCCACACACACTCCCACACACACATAAATGTACCTGTCAGACACGGTTTAAACACAGAGAATTTTGACTATTTGTTACTGGGCTGTTTTTAGACATCAAACTACGGCATTTGAGATGTGGTTTCCATTGATGTCAGGTTTTTTTTTTATGTCACAGTCATTACTGATATATCCTTACCCTGGCTCATCTATAAAAGAGTGGTTCAGTTAAATTCAATTTTTTTTTTCTCCCCTCGTTACAGGAAAATTAAATAAGGTTTGCAAAAATGGATTAGATTCTATTGCTGCTATATATACATATTTATCTATTTCTCTGCATTGCAGAAACCAGACGTCCGTACTGTACATTTCAAATGGTACACTTAAAATATTTTGATATGTTTTGCAGATTTAGTTGACTGATTGCACGTCGTCTTTAATTTTCCAGCAGATGTTTGGAGGAGAGGCTTTTGTTCAGCTACACAGATGAACAACAGGAAGGAGGACATGGAGATCTCGTCTCACTACCGTCAGCTCCTCAGAGAGCTCAATGAGCAGAGGCAGCATGGCATCCTTTGCGATGCTTGTGTCATTGTGGACGGAAAGATCTTCAAAGCTCATAAGAATGTCCTCCTGGGATCGTCACGCTACTTTAAGACTCTTTACTGCCAGGTAAGAGACCTCGTTGGGGCAAAAAAAATGATCTTTTACAGATATTTTTCCTTTATAGCATGAGGTAAATTTTTTTTTTTAAACCACTGCTGTTAATACTCCTTCTTATAACCCTCCAGGTTAAAAAGGGGGCAGAGCCTCACCACCAGACTACTGTCACTCATCTGGATATTGTCACAGCAACAGGCTTCAAAGCCATCCTGGACTTCATGTACTCGGCGCACCTTGCTCTCACCAGTAAGAATGTGATTGAGGTCATGTCAGCTGCCAGCTACCTGCAGATGACAGATATTGTCCAGGCTTGCCACAGCTTCATCAAGGCTGCACTAGACATCAGCATCCGCTCAGAGATGGCTGATGAGCTGGCTGACTTTGAAATGGGCGCTGTGGCTGCTGCTGGCCTAGGTGGAGGCGGGGGCGTTGGAGGTGGTGGAGGAGGAGCTGGTCTACCAGGGGCAGGGGGTGTTGCGGGAGCTGGTTTAGGAGGCGGAGGGGGCATAGTGGGCATGGCGTCTGAAGCCCTTGCTTCCATCATGTCTGGTCGCAGCACCTCTCCTTGGCTGGCTCGCCGGACCAGCCCAGCCAACTCTTCTGGGGACTCAGCCATCGCCAGCTGCCATGAGGGTGGCAGCACGTATGGAAAGGAGGACCAAGAACCACCGAAGAGCCATGAGAGCCAGGAAGAAGCCTGCCATGACTCTCAGCCTGCATGGCCTCATGACTATCGGCCTGGCATCACTGTCAAAGAGGAACAGGTATCCCCTGCCTCCTCCTCTCATCCCCGGGACACTCCCAGGGGGGCAGCCCAAAGCCAGGCGGAGCAAGGGACTGGGGGACCTGGTGGAGGAGGCGGAGAAGGGCCCTGGCAACCTCTGTCAGGATCAGGGCGAAGGAAGAACAGGAAGAACAAGGACACAGTCAGACATATTACCCAGCAGGCTGAGAGAAACTGGGACCGCGAGCGGGACAGAGAGAGAGAAAGAGACAGTAGGCCTGGATCTCCTCTGCCCTCCATGCTGGCTGTAGCTGGATGGAACTACAATGGGCAGGATATCCCAGGTAGGACCGACAAGCTTAGAACACTTTCTCCTATTTGTGGAAAGTTTAAAAGCAGTAATAGTGAAAACAAACCGGGTGTCTTCAGGTCAGAAATGTGGTCTTTAGATTATCAGGTCAACAGAACAGCAGCAGATGGAATTAAATTGGACGGGCTCTCAAAACTGGTAGGATGGAGGGAGGCCAAAGAAAGCCCTTTGTGGTGCTGATTTGATGACTTTGAGGCTTTAGGGTGTCCTGCAGTTGCTAGAGTTTTACAATGCTGGTCCCTACTTAGTTAGTTATCCAGTCATGTAATTAGTGATTACTGGTGAGATAATAAGATCAGGTTATTTAATTGGGTGAGAGTGTCACCTAACACCTAACTGTAGCAAAATCTAATTTATCTTTTATAAGCCATCTTCTAACCAACAGACCAGTAGATGTGTTGGAGCAATTAAATTGCTTTGTTGACTTTATGTGCATTAGAGTGTGCATGACACTTTACAATACGGTGCATTAGTGCCTAATACTTTCATTCCTGCATGCATATTTCAATGCATGTCAGCTATCCACAGTTTACTAGTATAAAACGACCTCTTTTCCTCCTCCGGGGTTGAGATTAGCGAGCTTATACACTAACGTGTTAGGCCTAAGATGATTATCTCAAATCTTGGAGGTGTGAGGTGAAGCCTGGGTAAATGCAGATGGATAATGAAATCCTCTCCTTACTGCAGTTTATGTAAGCCACACTCCCACATAAACAAGCAAATGCATATGCAAACACACTCATGAACACATATTTATTTTGAGAAAGCCTGTCTTGATCCTCGGCCTTGTGTGTTTAGTGAAAATCTTTTAGACTAAAACTTATACGTGAAAAACTTACCTGTCTGTGTGTGTGTGTGTGTTCGTTCACCTCTGTGCGAGTGTGAGCGTGTGTGTGTATATCTATGTGAAGCCCAAGGCGTCGATAGGTAGATCATTAAAAGTAAGGGAAGCTAATCCTGGGCGCATTAAGGGAGTTGGCTGTGAAATGGGCACACGCGTCGCGCAGCGAAAGAAAACAGGATAATTGAATTGACCTGGGTCACTGCACGGATTACCAGCGCGTCCTCGCCATCCCAAGCTCCTCCCCCTCTCTCTGGGGTTTAGGGAAGGACCTTCTGGAAAGGGCGAGAGGAGGGAAAAGGAAGAGAGAGCGGCGGATGAGAGGGGTAATGAGAAGGAAAAACGACAGAGACAAAAAGAAACGCACGTTGGAAAGTACATCGTACCGGGCTTACGAGAGTTAGGCTGTGCATCTTAAAGTCTTCTAAGCAAGGTTATTGCGGTTACTAAAACTAAAACCGAGAGTGGATGTGAAAAACAAAAAAATGTTTTCACAGACTGAAATGGAAATTAAAAATTATACTTCAGAAAGAAGAAGTTCAAGTTAAAGAAAGATTGAATTTGGTCAAAAGCATGAGGAGGCAGAATTCTTCTTAATTTTTTGCCCTTGGTAAACAACCACATGTTATAATAAAAAAGGCCTTTAAAACTAATTAAACCCACTTTGGAAATCAACAAAAAGTAAACTGATTAAATTAATAAAAATGTCCCAGGTCCCTGATTTTGTGATTGTAGTACGGTGCCAGAACCACATGCACTCACAAGGTGAATGGCTCTATTAAGTCCCTTGGCTATAACCATGGTTCTGACCTGTGGTGGAAAGAAGAGTTTAAGCCTGCCTGTGGTGAAGCAGCCATTAATAAGAAAGGTGTTGTCTCACCTAAAGGTTAGAGGAAGTCTAGTGTTGCTGCTGGTGTAGACTCGCCTGGTGCTCGCCAAAAGGCAACCATTTATCCTCGCTTTCACCCGGGTTTTGGGACTGGGCTCAGCATGGCGAAGAATGGAAGGATTGGGTCTCCTTCAGTTGGATGCCATTTAGCAGTAAAACATCATGTTACCAGTGGGCTTATTTGAGATTTAACAGCGGCAGTTTATATCAGGATGTGTGACACCATATTGTGTATTGAGTGCGTTTGCAGTGGGTGGTGTCTGTGTGCTCAGTAAAAGTTTAGGGGATTGCTGAACAGGTTTAGTGGCCTTATATTAGTCAGGGAGCCTGTACGGGGAGTGGTGAATTGTTTTGGTTGTGGGAGTGCTCCTCTGCTCGTAATGTGTAATGTCCACAAGTTTGTTTGACAAAGTCAGGGGTAAAAATATCCAGGATGTCTGTGAGCTTACGAGAGTTAGTGTTCTTAAGTCCTAAGTCCCCCTTAAGTCCAGGATTTTGTCACCTCCAGGCAAAGATCACAATCAGGAGTGAAGTTGTATGGAAATGCCAAAGAATTATAAAGTGACGCATGATTCTGTTACAGATTTTTCAAATATGATATTAGAAAGCGCTACAGCGATGGCAAAGAGTTACGTCTGTTTTATGACAGATTCTTTGCTGCTACTTGACAAATAAAGAGCTTATAATAATGGAACACTAAAAGCTCTCGCTGACACATAAATAATATTAATTTAAAGATGAAAACAAACAGACCCAACAAACGTAAAACACGTACATACACAGCCTATTGCTGCGATTGTTATCCCTACAAATAGAAAGCCCACGCGGCATTATTTTGATGATGTGACCATGGCAGGTCTGCTACTGTATTCTTTAGGCAATAAAGTCTGTAATTACTGAGTCATTCATTCTTTACTTCATTAGTTTTACTGACGTGTGGGATCGAACGCAGTTTATCCTACTGCCAATTATATAAATCAGAGCGCATTTAATGTTTGCCTGATAAACGATTTTCAAGTTTTCCAAATAGTTGCCTGAGTTCCTGCTGATTGACTTATAGGCTGTTTTTTATTGTTTGGTTTTTTTTGTAGGGATCATTCTGAATGGTCACATCAGTTAAAAAGAAAACGCATACATGAAAAGTATGCATAATAATGATGATGATTCATTCCATTCACTCTCACAGTAAGCCAAGCAGGCGTTAAATCAGTCACGTTGAAATAAAAATCCAGACATAATAAATGTTACTAATACAACAAAGCCTGCTAAATGTCCTTATTGTGAGGTGGTAGGTTAACGGTTTAGAGTTAGTTAGTTAGTGTGGTGAGGGTGTTGTTTCATGAAGTCCAGTTGTTGCTTGTCATAAAGGGTATCCAGGAGAAAGGGCACCTTCAGTCTTAGATTAGCTTAATTGCTTCATTCTTTATTGATGAGAAGTGCCTAGACACACTCTCTCCCTCACTCTTTCTCTCCCTCTCTCTCTCATTCATTCATCTGTAATCAGTGTCTATGCTTTGCTATTAGAAACGCTTATATGACGCACAACCACGAGGATTTCACCGGATCATTCTCTAATATAAGGATAATGTATCGCTGCGTAAAGGCTCAGTGTATTAGCGTGCATGAAAATGCCATGTGCCCATGTTGACATAAACAGCTGCGGGAATTAGGATTTGTTTTCTTTAGATCCCCTTCCGTTGCAAGCATCTGCTCTGTTCACTTGATGTCATTATTGAGGCCAGTAAGCACTCAGCATCCTTTTCTCTCCCGTGCTAACGCTTGATCTCCGCATTTCTTACGTTCACCTTGTCTGCCGCCACGAATGTTTGAAACATCACACGTGAAGCCAGAAAAGAAACCAGCCCCGCTTACATCTCAGGGAACTGAAACATGTGTATGTTTCTTTTTTACACAATACTATATTAGAGGTGACAATTTTTGAGGAAGAGAGTTTTTAATAGTCTGTACTTCTTTTGCCTGCATACGTCTCAAACCTTTGAATAATTATCCAAGATTATTTTTAGTTTGGCCCCCGCTGCTTCGTCCAGACCTGGATTAGAAAGCTCCAGCAAATCAAAGACATTGTTTTGAATATCAGGAGTCAATTTTTTATTTTTTTTAATCAGTTTAGTATATTCTTGTGCGGGGCCTTGAGTCAGCCTCTCTTTGTGTAATCCACGCAGGGTGTGCAATCAGTTAATCAATTTGATGAATGTGGCAGCTGTGTTTAAAGGAGGTAAAGTTGGTAGTCTGCTAATCTTGGGCCGGTTGCTCCAATCCGCATGTCAAAGTGTCCCTGGGCAAGAAACTCAACCCCAGCCCTGGCTGCCCTCGATGTGTCAGTGTGTTAGTGGATGCGGCTGTGAGTGGTCTACAAGACTGTAGAGCTGCTACTTAAGTGCAGTTCGTTTGATTAAACAATGTTAAATATTTTTTTATTAACCATGAGAGTGAACCTCAAATGTGCATATGAGCGATAATATTCTTGGCAACTCATGAAACGTAAGATTGTGCACGCTACACACAATCTCATACAGTATTTATAGATATCGCCAGATATCAGGAAGACGGCTAAGTTGTGACTATATGAGTGTCATTTTGAGACATTATGTGCCGTCTGTGCTCATTTTACTTATTTTATTAAAGTAGGAGTCACTTCTTTGGTTGGTGGATATGACATTTTGGAGGCAGATGTCACCCTTTCTTCTGAACCTGCCCCCTCAGACTGACAAGAAGCCAGAGCTGCTGAAAACATGACTTAACGATTGATTTAAAAAAAAAATTCTTGCTGCTTTTATACTTGGGGCAAACACAAACTTGATCTTTATCCCACATAATAACGGCACTGGAAATACTTTTTGCGTGTGTTTTTGCTGGTATTAAAACACACACACAGTGACCTTTAGTGGCAGCTTGGGGGATTTTGGCAATGGCCGGTGTGATATACACGCTCACATACACACAGCTTAGAGCATCTGATTATGTAGACGTGAACAGTTCAATCACACGTGGGCTGTTCTTTCCATTTCCCTCTAGCTGTTGCACATTGATTACATCGAGAATCTTTTTTGAAATCCAACATCTTTATCTGACTCTCTTCCTCTCTGCTCTGTGGCCTCAGAGTTCCCCTCCTAAACCACTTATTCACATTCGCTCACACATATACCCACAAAGATGCTCTAAAAAGAGTGAAATCATTTTTCCATAGAAGCTCGTCCTGTTTATTCGCGCGAGATCTTAAGCG